CATGTGGGTGCTGGCGGTGCTGGCCGCCTCGGAGCACTCGCAGCTGCTGAGCCTGCTGCTGTCTGGGGTGGTGCTGCTGCACGCGCTCTTCTGCCTCATCGGCTACTGCATCATCAACAAGCGAGTGCGCGAGAACCTGCAGCGTACCTGTCTGCGCTGCATGGGCCGCAAGGTGCCGCTGCTCGACTCCTCCATGGTGGTCAGCAACAGCTCGCACAACGTGAACGGTGCCACGCGGCCGAACAACTTCCTCGCGGGCAGCTACGACACGACAACGCGGCGGAATATTGGCATCAGTGCCAGCAGCACCACCTCCCGCAGCACGGCCAAGACCAGCTCCAGCCCCTACAGCGACGGGCAGCTGCGGCAGACCTCCACGTCCACCTCCAACTACAATTCGGCCAGCGATGCGCCCAGCTTCCTGCGCGGCTTCGAGTCCTCCACCACGGGTCGCAGTCGGCCCGAGGAGAAGCCGTCGAGGCGTCGCACCGAGCGCAAGGACTCCGACTCTGGCTCCGAGACCGATGGCCGCTCCCTGGAGCTAGCCTCCAGCCACTCCAGCGACGACGACGAGTCGCGCACGGCCCGCTCCTCTGGCACACATCGCAGCACGGCCGTCAGCTCCACGCCCGCCTACCTGCCCAACATCACGGAGCACGTGCAGGCCACCACGCCGCCCGAGCTGAATGTGGTGCAGAGCCCGCAGCTCTTCCCCAGCGTCAACAAGCCCGTGTACGCGCCGCGATGGTCGAGCCAGCTGCCGGACACGTACATCCAGTCGCCGCCGAACATTGGTCGCTGGTCCCAGGACACGGGCTCCGACAACGAGCACGTGCACGGCCAGAAGATGACCATCTCGCCCAACCCGCTGCCCAATCCCGATCTGACGGACACCAGCTACCTGCAGCAGCACCACAACAAGATCAACATGCCGCCCTCGATCCTGGAGAACATTCGGGACGCGCGCGATGGCTACGAGGACAGTCTGTACGGGCGGCGGGGCGAGTATCCGGACAAGTACGGCTCCTACAAGCCGCCCAGTCACTATGGCAGCGAGAAGGACTATCCGGGCGGCGGCGGCGGCGGCGGCGGCGGCAGTGGCTCCCAGACCATCGGCCACATGCGCAGCTTCCACCCGGATGCGGCGTACCTCAGCGACAGCATCTACGACAAGCAGCGGACCCTGGGCAGCGGCTATCTGGGCGCCAAATCGGAGTCGCCCTACCTCTCCAAGGACCGCATCACACCAGACATCTATGGCTCCCGCGACGGCCACTACAGCCTCAAGAGGCAGCCCGCCTACGCCACAGACTCGCTGCACTCGGTGCATTCCCTCCTGAAGAACGATTACCACCAGCAGCAGCAGCAGCAGCAACAACAGCTGCAGCTGCAGGCGCAGGACAGGCTGTCGGAGGGTTCGGACAAGAATGGCTACCACTTCCCGTACACCGCCGAGGAGGATCATTTGACGACGCGCAAGCTGAGCCACACGCAGCCTCCCTCGCTGCACGGCTCCCAGCTGATGCAGCCACCGGGCCTGGGGCTGGGCATGGGGATGGGCCTGGGCCTGGGCATGGGAATGGTGAACGATGTTAACAATCCGGGACTGATGGCCCGCCACACGCTGAACGGTGGCTCGCGGCACAGCTCGAGGGCCTCGTCGCCGCCATCCAGCATGGTGGCGCCCATGCAGCCGCTCGGCCCACTGGCCAGCATCACGGACACTGAGTGAGTGGCAATCCTGGCTTCGTTTCGCGGCAGTCTACACTCTGGCCCTGGGGGCGCTTGGGCGCAAGTTGTTAGTGCTTCTTCCACACCCCCCCAAGACCCGTACGATGTATGTTTCTTTGATTTGCTGTGTTGGTCGTCTGTTTGCTAGAGATTTGTTTTTGGTTTTTGCTCTCTCAAGTTTATTTTTCCACATTTGACTTGGGCGGCAATTAATCTGTGTGTGTGTGTGTGTGTGTGTGTGTGAGTCTTTGTTTGATGCAAACAAAAAACAAAAGCAACGACAATGATATAAAACCCTTTTGTCCGTCTCCCAGCTACTCCACTTCGTTCAGCTCCAATTCTGTCTGTCCACAAAACATAAACCATAAAAGCAATGATAGCCGGAAACAATGCAAATGAATATGGAACAAAACACACACACACACACAAGCACACACACACACACACACACATATCTATGGGACATGTCCATATCCTTTCAGCTGGTGCTGGGAACATTTGAAGCAAATCTAATTCGACTATCTTTCACTTCTATTCTCTTCCCTCCCAACTTGTGCCCTCTCTCTCTTTTTTACCCTGATGCCGCACACATACTAACACACACTCACACACACACACACACACAACAAAATGAAATGCAACGTAATGCAAAAAACAATCCACAATGGCGGCTCGTATTCCATCCACATCTATCTGTCTAACAAATCCATCCATCCATACCCAACCACATCTCACCACAACAACTACAACAACTACAACTACAACTACAACTACAACAACTACATCAACAGCTCAGAGGTAAACCACAAGGAAAATGCATTTTCAACTCGCACATTTCACATTTTTCCACACGTCCATCATCGTTTTGTGTTACATTTTTCGCTTTCGTTTGGCCCTAGCTTAAGTGTAAATATAAAAGGGATTCCGATTCGTTTCGTTTCGTTTCGATCTCCCTGCCCAAAATTTAAGAGTGCGCAATTTGCACTCTCTCTCTCTCTCTTCTCTCTCTCTGTCTAATGTGAATATTGATTTTATTTTTGTATATTTACTACATTTTGTATCCCCCGCGACCCAAACTGTTTATCATTTCTAATTGAATTTGCACACTCTGTGATTTGTAATTCGAATGTAAGGCAAGTGCAACCCGTAATATTTTGTGTTATGTTCTCATTCAGCAATCAAACATTTGTACATGTACCTGCCATGCCATGACCCCTCTCATTTACACCAACCAAAACACAACACAGCACAACACATGAACAGACTCACTCTCTCTCTCTCTCTCTCTCTCTCTCTCTCTCTATCTGTCTGTACAACCCACTGAACCGCCTCCACAGTTCGACATTGTTTGGCTGCAACGCAGGCAACAGAGGCAGCAGTATCCTTGGTCGCTAACAATATGGTATAAATAACTAATCGAGCAAGAAAAGGAACCATTTAGCCACATAGCCACCCCCCTCCCCCCCCCAGTTGGTCAATCCGAGCCAACAGCTATAGACAGAGTGCTTAAGATAATATTTATCAATATCATAGACTCGTAATGCCAGAGCAGAGTTTTCCCCCCACAACTAAACCGCAGACATTTGAGCCCAATAGAGTTTATGATTTAGCGCCCAGAACATGCCCAGAATCAATTAGCACTCGAATAGCTTGACCCGTGTGGTCTAATCTACTACTCATACATATGTACAGCTATGTACATGCCCTGACACCTCCATCCACAGGCACGCAAACACCCACTAAACACTAAACACTCACACCACACCCAGTTGTAGATTTATTTAGTTTAATAATTATGTTGATGCTTGAACTAAACCCAAAAACCTAAACTATGTAGTGTAGTGTGCATGCCATAAATAATGCACTCCATTGAGCACCTGGCACGTGGCGTAGTGCACTGTAGACTGATGGACACAACTTGAGTAGTCTGGGAGCCTGGCAGTCTGGGAACTAAAACGAACTAATGTCAATCTCTCTCTGTCGCAAAACAGGCGGAATATTGATGATGACGAGACCACAGTGTGACGACTGTCCCAGCAACTGCAGCAGAAACAAAAGCAACGGCAGAGGCACAAGCAGAAGCAGAAGCAACAGCAGCAGCAGCAGCAGCAGCGTGCGAAGAACCAAGCACAACAAAACTTTGCCACAATTAGACGCAAGCCGCTGCAATACAGAAGCACCACCAACACTTGAGCTTCAACCTGGACCAATGCATATTGTGCAGGGGGAAAGCAAACTGCAGCTGCAGCGAAGGCCATAAGTTCATCATTAGAATCCTGTACATAAAAATACACACACACGAGCAAACACACATAAACCTGTCAAAAGCGCATTCATACGTGGATTACTCTTAGCACTCACACAAGCACCAGTTTAAGGAACATATTTTAGCATTTAATTAATTTATATACGAGTAAAAGGAGCTCAAGCCCTGCACTTTGTGCGAATTTGTGCAATTTCATTTACTCAGCTAGCCACAACGAGCTCGAGTGTGTGCAGTGCGTGTATTATAACATATTTATGTATAATTAATCTCTAAAAACAAGTCAGACTGATTTTATGCATTTTCGTTCTGCCATTAAGTTAAGCTCTACCTACACTAAGACGACTTAGAAACACTAATACTCGACACAGAGCACTTGCATTTAGGTCCAATTGAAGCTAAAGAAACAAACAAATCGAACTTGCATGCATTTTTAGTTAGCGCAAAGGATGGGGATCCGGATCCAGGTACGAAGTAGCAGAAAGTGCAGAGCTTATTATGCCAAATTATTTGAAGAAGGAGGAGGAGCAGCTTGAACGGAGAGTGGAGAAGCCTAATTGATGGCAACTGTACAATAAAATCTGTTCAAAGAAGTCATACAGAAAGGGAACATATAGAGCACAGACAGACACACCACACACATATCCAACAGCATATAAATATATTCAAGTAATAACAAAATATAACCAGAGGAAGATGCCTGATCTCCGCAACAATAGCCACTCTCATGACCGTGTAAAGTGTGTACAATTTATGAACAAATAATTATAATTCATAGGCAGAACTCACTGCAGTGTGGCGCCTCCAGCTGGGCCATAGATTGCGCTTGAACGGGTCTGGCCCACAATATACGATATCTATGTGAATGTGAATTGACTTATTTAGTTGTAAAGTTTATCAAAATAAATCGTAATGTAAAATAAATATACAAAACCAAAAGTAAGTGCGTGTTTGAGGGAGAGTTGTGCCGTGGTGTGTGCAATGCCAAAAAATAGTCAGAGTTTGGTTGTTTTTCCATACACCTTTTTTGCATATATTTTATTATGGGAATACAATAATTTCAATACCATTATGTGTACATTATGTAGGTATATGTATGTGTGTGTGTGTGTGTGTAAGTATCCTCACGATACAGATGTGTTGGTATTTCAAAAACCATTATTGAATAACATACGGAATTATTTGTTTTGTTTTGCTTCATTTTAGTTGGGTGGCTATTCTGCTGCACATAAAACGGAGAAATGGAATAAAAATTATGATTTGTTTGGAATACGAGTACAAATACGTTTTATGGGTTCACAAATATTAGCTTTGCCCGAGTACACAATGCCATAATCAATATGCTAGTATTCTTCGTTAGTACGAGTTGGAGTGCGAATACGAAATACGGATACGAGTATGAATTTGCTAACAATTTTGGTTTGTTTATTTTTGTAGTGATTTTGTTTGATTTTGGCTTACATTTTGTGTTAGATTAGTTCAGTTTAGTTGAATGGCTTCCATGGCTATGCAGTTGTTTATGTATGTTTAACTATTTTACAAAACAGATCGAATAATGCCGAGTAAGTAGTCCAATGTACGCGTCGTCAGCTGTAGTTTTATTTAAGGCATTGTCGTATGGAATATCTTCTATTACTTAACATTTCCCTCTACCACTATCCGCGCTCCACTCCACATCCAGTTGGTTGTTAGCTCGTTGTGCATTTTGTGTCTGGCTTACATTTGCTCAGAGGTGTGCTTTGGGGGAGGGTGTACATGTGGTAACTCGATTCGTTTTGGGTATTTATAATACAGCGATATGCCTTTAGTTTATATCGTAATTCAAGTGAAACTCTGCGTGTATACACATACATATTTAACATTAACGAGCATTTGCAAATACACACAGTTGCGAGTACATTTATTATTCATTTATATTCAGTTAAAGTTCAGCAGTTCCCCACGTACAGGGTCAGTGTCCCCTCAACTCTGTGCAACTCGGGGGGGCAGCAGCAGTTGGTTGTGTCTTCTTTTACAGCGTAGAAAAGTTGTTTGGGGTGTGCCTATCAAAACAGAATAGTTTGGGGGGCATAGTACTTAGTGTTGGCAACTTAAATGCACCGATCTCTCAGCTGGCTCGGTGGGTTCAATTAATTTCTCTCAATTCAATTTCAATTTCAATTCGCAAAATCGCAATCTAATAATTTGTGCGCTGTGTGGATAAATTTGGGAAATGAAATTAAATTTGTGTGCCACGGGGACAGGAAAGGATCATCGCTGCGATCCTCAAGTTTGCTCCGTCTTCAGCGTGTCATTGTTATTGTCAGAAAGGACGCGAAACATGAAACTGAGACACGGGGAAAAACTGCAAACGTACCAAATGGATCTGGGTAGTATGTACTATGTATTTATCGGATATAGTATGTTTATGTATGTATATTTTATGTATAGCTATGTATATTTCATTTATCAATTGCAACACATTAAAATTTGTCCATTTTCACTACATAAATACATACAGTACACACATCATAATAATACAATAATGATGATAATAATATTTAATAATAATAATGGCCAACCAACCACATGTTCATACATGTCTCTGCTATATGCGAGCATGTATCTGTATCTGTATCTCTTTATCTGTATCTTTTTATGTGTGAAATTGCTCCACAGAACCCGCACAACCTTCCAGCCAAGGCACGCCGGGATCGGGGCAACATGTTTATGTGTGTGTGTGTGTGTGTTTGCTATAGTTACTATGTTCGATTTCGCCAATTTGCTAGCCTTGTGCGTTGTGTGCAAGCATTCAAACTGTACAGTTTAGCCAGCATATGTATATACAAGTGGGAAAGTGCCCAGAAGCCCCTTCCATTAATGGAGGTGGAGAGAAACGGGAATGGAGCTTGCAGTTGCAGTTGAAAGATCAGCACAGAGTGTGTGCACATTTAATTAGTGCTGCTGGGGGCCCTAGACTCCTAGACTCCTAGACTCTCTCTCTCTCTCTCTCTCTCTCTCTCTCTCTGTCTTCGATTCGATTCGTCGCTCAAGGCAAAAGGTTCAAGTCAAGTCAAAGTTCGACAATTTAGTGCGTTTCTGCGGCAGCCGATTAAATTACACGTTACAAGATACAAATTACCAATTATCGATTACCAATTACCAATTACAATTGAAACATTGATTAGATAACATCTCTGACATTTACACGGTAGGCAATCGAACGAGCTTTAAGGATATACAAACATACATACATACAATATACGAGTATGGGCTACAAATACAGGGAGTGCATCATTCAAATGGCACTCGTCGATCCATTCATCTCTCGATTGGTGAACTGACTAAATTAGCTAGCTTTTAGTGCTTTGTTTTTTGTTGTTCTTTTCTTGTTTCTGTTTCTGTTTCTGTTTCTGCTCTGTTTGTTGGTGTCTCAGCTGCTCAGTTGACAGAATGTTGCGAGTTGTTGTACGAGTTGAATCTCTCTCTCTCTCTCTTCTTCTGTGTGTTGTTGTGGGTTTCCGGTTCCGGTTGCTCGTTCTCCTGGGGCTACTGCTGGTGGTGTTGGGCACTCTAACAGTTGCAATTGGCATTGGGCGTGCCCTGCGGCTGGTCCGTCAAGCGCTGCCCCTTCTGTGCTCCGCCCACTAACGTCGGATCGGCGTCGAGGCTCTCGGACATCTTGTCGCATATAATATCCACCAGGCGCTCGAAGACAGCCTAAAGCAGCAACACAGAATGGTTGAAGAATAACTCTCGCAGTGGCCAGCGGCTGACACTCTCACCTTGACATTCACATTCTCCTTGGCGGACGTCTCAAAGAACTCCACGCCCAGCTGATCGGCCAGTTGGCGGCCCCGCTCGAAGCTAATCACGCGCTGATCCTCCATGTCGCACTTGTTGCCCACCAAAATGACTTGGGCGTTGTCCCACGAGTAGGTTTTGATTTGTGTGACCCTGCGGGAGAGGAGAGAGTCAGCGTGTTTGTGTTTGCCTTAGGGATGTGCTCTCACCAGTCCTGAACCGAGTTGAAGCTGTCCTCGTTGGTGACATCATACATCAGAATGAAACCCATGGCGCCGCGATAGTAGGCTGTGGTGATGGTGCGGTAACGCTCCTGCCCGGCCGTGTCCTGCAAAAGTCAAACGCAATTTGGTCAGCTCTTTGATTTACGACCACTAAAAACACCACAATTAACCCGCAGCAGCAGGCTGTGACACACGAGAGAGGGTGCCAAGCTGCGGCAACTTGTTGCCTTGATTGATGGGTGTGCAGCCAGTCAATACATCGAGAATACTATCACAAGTGGCAAGCAGACTTACCCAAATCTGCAGCTTCACGCGCTTGTCGTGGCGAAAGACAGTCTTCACCTTGAAGTCGATGCCCACCGTGGAGACGAAGGCGGATGTGAAGCTATCGTCGGCATAGCGGAAGAGGAAGCTCGTCTTGCCCACACTGGAGTTGCCGATGATGAGCAGCTTGAACATGTAGTCAAAGTTCTGGTCGGCCGCATCCTTCTGCCACTTGGGATCCCCGCCGCTGGCCATGTCTGTTCAGTGCTCCTTGCTGTCTGTCTGGAATACAGGAAAATACTACAAAGGATCAGTTTAGAAGGCTTTGCCCGGCCTGTCAAGCTGTGAACGGCAAGTGGGAAACTCATTCTGGTCAGTCTCATCGAAACCTTCGTATCTGCCACAGCACAAGCTGTCGACTCTGAAAATATTGAGAAATTCTTTTCAAAAAGGGAAAAGTTTGACTTTTGCTTGATTTTTACAAAGTTTTTCGTGTTTTTTTTTCGTGTTGTAAGAGAAAATGTTCGACACCACGCTGGGCACTCTGATTGGCCTCTTGATGCAGATCTGCTGGCTGTTGGCCAGCCAGTTCTTCTGCCAGTTGGTGCAACATCCTCTGCTGAGCAGCGCCGTGTGTCTGCTGCTGAGCCTCGTCCGACGGGTGGACCAGACTGCGCTGCGTGCGCGTTTCCAGCTGCTGAAGATGTGGTTTACACCTTTGGATCTGCCCACTGACACTGACAACTGTGGCTACGACACGACTGACCCTGGAGAGGGGGAACTGGGAAGACAGGGACCCGGGTCTGGCTACCAGAGCCCCATCAATATCGACGAAACACAGCTCAGCCGCCTGGCCATCAGGGAGCTGCTCAACTGGAACCACTACGACGATCTGCCGGCGAGCATTCAGCTCGAGAATACGGGCCATACGGTGGTGCTGCGAGCTCAGTTCCACGGCAACAGACCGACCATCAGCGGCGCAGATCTGCTGGCCAGCTACACCTTCGTGGAGGTGCGCTTCCACTGGGGCTGGTGCAACAGCGAGGGCTCCGAGCACACCTTGAACCACCGCAAGATCCCCATGGAGATGCAGGTGATGCACCGTGCAGGCTCCGGCCAGGCGCGCTCCTGCACCAGCAGCTACGATCTCCTGACCGTCGCCTTCTTGTTCGAGCTCTCCGCACACAACCCGTTCCTGGACCCACTCGTGCAGAACCTCCGCCAGGTGCGTGTGCCTGGAAAGCGTGTGACCATCTCTCCCTTTCCGCTGAGCTACCTCATGCCCGCATTCCGGACTGGCTTCTACTCTTACGGTGGCTCGCTGACCCACCCGCCGTTCTACGAGGGCACCGAGTGGCTCATCTTTCCCGAGACGCTGGCCATCAGCGACTTTCAGCTGCGCCACTTTCGACAGCTGCTGGGCCCCGATGGCATCACTCCCATCACAAGGAACGCCCGTCCCGTTCAGTCTCTGGGCAACCGCAAAGTCAGCCTCAACTGCTTCTGTCCCTTCGATGCCAGTCAGCTGCCAGTCAATCATTGCCAGCAGCAACAGCAGCAGCAGCCGCAGACTGCGGAAGTGAAGCAGAAGCAGAAGCAGAAGCAGGATCAGCCGGTCGCTCCTTTGGTGGCTCCTGAGGAAGAGGGCCTGCTGCTGGAGTCCATGAACACGACCACCATCATAACCAGCGACTCTGGGAACATCTGCATGAGCACATTCATGCGGAAGGAGCAGCCTCAGGAGGACTACAGCACCACAGCCATTGTCCTCCACAGCGACTCGACGGCCCCACAGCCGGAGCAGGCTGTTCAGGAAGATTTGACAAGCAACGAGGGTGGAGCCGATGCCATCAGCGTCGTGGGCGATGGCGTCAACATTGGGCTCCAAGGCCACCCCCAGCTGCTGTGAGTGGGTGGAATGGGCAGCTTGAATTTTGCTTTCGTTTTTGTTTTTATCACGCGGAACCGGATACGCCGCCAGCTGCTCTTTGTCCTGCCAAGACTAATTGAATGGCGCGTGCATGGATTAAAGAGTTGCGTTTACATTTACAAACCAAAGCCCGCGCGGCAGCTGGACTGGCGAATGGTGGGGGAAAGAATGGATGGGACTTGGAAGCAGATTTCCTTCTCCTTGTGGCTGTTCTCGGTATGGCTGTCACGTCAGTGGACTAGGAAAAACAAGCAAAAAGAAAGCAAGGAGCGAGGGGGGAACTGGCACTGGTAGCGGCACGGCCTTGAAAAGTTTCAGCCTTGTCATGGCACGGACACGGGCACAGCCGTTTCAGCTTACAGTTTTCCCATTTACTCTCGACTCTCGGCTCTCGTCTTTCACAATTTCCATATGCAAGGCAGCCAGCAGCTCCCGCTCCTTGGACGCGAGCGGGCGACATTGTGTCGATAATTTGTGTGTATAGACAACTTTATCTGGCTTTTGCCTTCTGCCATGGCTTCTTCCACGTCTCCTCCTGCTTCGCCAGCTTCAATCAAAAGTTGCGCAGCAACAAAATGCTGTCAGAATGCTTTTCTGAGAAAGACTACGACTCTGGCCCTGGCAAAAAGGACAGCCCCAAGCCAATGCTCCTGGCAGCGGCTGTCAAGGAGCAGAACCCTCCACTTCTGGAGCCTCAGAGCACCTTTGGAGTGTGTGGCAGAAGCCGGGGGCACAGCGACAGACAGACGTGCCCGAGTCAATAGGCAGGACAGCCTCTTATCAGAAGGCGGCGTGGAAATGTTTTTATCTGCCTGACTTCGTGTGATTATCGATTTTTTTCTGTTGTTTTTTCGCCTCCATGTGGGGGTGGCTCCATCTGCAGCCTCGCTGTTCATGCGTGCTTCAACTTTTCAAATGGTTAAGCAGCTGTTCGGCGGTCAGAGCAAACCATTGAGCTGTGGCTCTGTGGTCTGCTGTTTGCGGTAACTTTCACTGAACCCCAAGCAATCGGACACCCACGCACGAGAGTGCAATGCGGCGTAATCTTAATATTAAGGTGGGATGTGAGCTGAGGGGCCACTTACTGTGTCTTGAAGGTTGATCCGGTTGCTCCTGCTGCTCCAATAGATCCCGTTAGCTTGTAGATGCGCTGCCGTTGACGTGCGCTGCTGCTGCTGCTGGTGCTGCTGTGTATGTGTGTGGCTCTGTGTGGGAGTAGGTGTGTGCAGGTGTGTGGGTGTTTAGGTGTACACGGTTATTTCGCAGACATACACATACGCAAATCGATAATGTGCCTGGGGCTTTCGTTCTGCTTCTGCTTCTGCTTCTGTTTCTGTTTCTGACTCCGCTGTGTGTGGGATTTCGTGTTCTCTGCTTCCGTCCGTTCGGGGGGTGGGGGTTTGTATTGAAAGTTAGCCTTGGCACTGGCCTAACATACGGTACTCTTTGTTTACGGTTACCCAATCAATTATTCAACGTACGCGCACCCACACGTCTCGCCACAGCACTGCAGTCAATCAACGAACTCTGGAGTCGCCTCGAAGTGGCAGTGCAAAAGATATCTTGCCTGGCCTGCCAATTATTTTCTCAACTGTTTCTCAACTTCTGCTTTCGTCAAACGGGGAAGATCGCATCGACACGTCGTCTTTGCAGGACTCAAATGAGGGAAAAAATTCGAAGCTCTCAGGCTGCGAATTGGCTGCTGCGGCGAATATGCGAAAGTTTTGTATACGTTTTCATATATCGACTGCTGCCAGAGCGCCCTGCTATCTGCTGTGTGTGTGAAAATCGATTGGGGGGCTGTTTTCCTGGATAATTGGGGGCGAGCTTTCCATTCATGTGGCGGGGCGGACATGCGCACAGTTCGCCATGGACACAGATGCGCTAACCAACACTGGCAGAGCGCCAGCTTTTTGAAATCTAATCGAGTATTTATATCGGTTATTGGTTTGTGGTTTATTTTATGGTTTATGATTTTTTTTAATATCCAAAGCTAAGTGCCCTCACGCCATCACAATAAAGGTCCAAAGATCTGCGTGGCTTTGATTGTGCTTCTAAACAGTTTAATGATTGATCAACAAATATAACAATGCAGCCCAAGTACAGCTCTGTCCCCCTACAGCTTGCTATTCCCTGCGAGCATTTCGCGTACAATCTTCACAGCGTACTTGGCTGTGCCAGGCGCTGTGGTCACACCGTAGCCTCCGTGGCCATAGTTGTGGACCACCTTTAGGCGTCTTCCCACCGCATTGGTGAGCAGTTCTGGCTCCACACGAACGATCGCACGGTGCGGACGAAGTCCAACGCACTCCCTGACAATTTCCGCCTTCTTGAGGCTCGGCAGGAGGTCGTAGCAGCGCTCCTTAATGGCCATGCTGTCGTACTTGCACCACTCGGTGTTGTAGCTGTCGAACTGCCGGCAGCCGCCCAAGGTGACCGTCTCGAAGCCGGGCAGCACATACGTGTCGTAGTCGCCATAGAAGGCAGTCTTAATCCACGGCGCCCGCACCTTCAGCACCTGACCCCGAATGGGCACCAAGTGCTGATCATTGCACAGCTCCTTGGCTCCCATGCCAGTGCAGTTCACAAGGACATCAAAATTCTGCGGCACATCGAAGAAGTTCGTCACATGCTGGCGTACCACTTGTCCCCCATTTTTGAGGAATCTGCAAACGAATGTTGGGAGTGATTGATTGTTGGTGGTTGCACTGGTTGGTCACTGCACTCACTTGCTCGTGGCGTAGGGCAGGAAGAGGCGACTCTCCGTCAGGCAGGTGGTGAAGAAGGAGCCGTACTTCCATCCGCCCTGGCACAGCTTCAGCTCCTCCTCCGTGGCGCGTCGGTACACGGGCAGAAGCTTCTCAATGAAGTGGTTCTGAAAGAAACGGCAATGTCTCGTTAATCGAAATAAGCCAATTCCGATAAGAAGCGCTGATAGAGAGACGCCTGGCAACTTACCCGCACGATGGTGGGGGAGGTGCGCGAGTATATGTAGCCCGACAGCTGGCACACGCCTGCCAGAGGAGCCTCCTTGGAGCGACGCAGCTCATCCCAGTAGTTGAAGGCATCCGTCATCCATTGGCTGCAATCGAAAGAAGCATCAGAATGTCGTACTGGACATGACCTTGCAGCAAGCGATCGTACTGCGTAATTTCCTGGGTGGGGCCCATGAAACTGGTGCCCGGTCGAAAGATGCCCGCCGCCACATAGCTGACTGTGTCCTCGTTGAAGCGATCGGCAATGATGGACACCTTTGCCGAGGGAAACTGCTCCTGCAGCTCCAGGGCGGTCGTGAGACCAATAATGCCGCTGCCTAGCACTCCGAAATGCATGGTTGATTCGCTGGCCAATCCCGATCCGGTACTGAGCAGCAGCAACCTGCAGCTCAATTATTTAACGGCGCCCGGCACTTGTTTAGATAGTGAGTGCAGCTTATCAGTCCATTATATCAGTAAGAACATTTAAAACAAACTTCTCTCTCTCTCTCCCTGTGCCTGGTTATCTTTTCACTGCTCATAATCTTTACTCGATTGGTCGAGAAAGAAAATGCCGCTCTTTTGCTATCGTTTTTTGAATTCACTTCAATAGGAATCACAATCAAAAAAGTGAATTTAATCAATTTCAATTGAATTTAAAAGAAACAGCTGTCTATGTTTTGTCTATCGACATTCGATAGAAAATACTTGACTATACCAAAATACTAAAGGGAAAGTACTAATATCTCGCACTACAATAACTTTTCATTCAAATTTGTGAGCATACATTGTCGTTTTTAGGTCGCTGGGAGCATACAATCAAATTCAACAAAAAAAATTACTTTCATAAAGGCAGCTGCTCAGCTCCTAGCTCTGTGCATATTTGTGTATTTTTGTGCGCCTCTGAGATTTCCGGCACATGTCCAGACGGTCACACTGCACTCTCAACAATATTCAATTCTTAATTTTTTTTCTAAAAACAACAATAAATTAAGAACAAAAGTAACGGCACACAGCACACAGAAAGGCGCTCTTTGAAGTCCAGTGGCAGCTACAGCAGCACTGTGGAGCAGCAGTCCCAGAGGCGTAACCACGGAAACCTTGAGGAGCAACATGACGGCAATGTCGCCCAGTGAGGTGAGTGTTTGGTGCAGCCAGCCCTCCCCTCCCCAACCCAACCCCTTGACAAACACTAGCACTTGTGCAAATGTTTGCTTGCTGCCGGCGTTTGGTTTCGGTTGGACTCCGCCCACCTTCTCCAGCTGATTGTTCCGTTCGATTCCTCTTCCGCAAGCATTGCACAAGGTTCAACGTCACCTTATCGTTTTTTTTTTCGGCAACCTGAGCTCTGAGCGCTGAGCACTGAGTGCGGCGTGACGCATTCGCAAAGAGTGTGGGGCGAGACGGCTTATCGGCGAAAGCCCAGCTCTCCCAGCTTCCTTGAGTGTCGAGACGGCCGAGACTCATCTCTGATTATTATATAATTGCAGCAGGCAGGCAGGCGCAGCGGCGGCAGCAATGAAAGAGCCTCTTTGTCCCGCATGGCCTCTGCACATTGAGGTCAGTGAGGCAGGCCTTTTGCGACCTGCTAATTGCCACCCACGAATACGGATCAACAAATCGACCCGCATGTGCTTTGGCCTGTGCTCCCTGTGTTTATGCAACCAAATGCAGGTCTCCCCGTGCACCGACTGCCGTGCACATTCCTGCTGCCGTTTTGTTTATGCCACGTAAACAGTGCGCCTGCAGAGTAGCCTTGGCTAGCCCATCGATCCTGTGCTGTGCTGTGGCCATTGTATATGCCACTCTCATATGGTTGCTCTCACATCGGTTGCCCTCGGCACACACATACCGGCGCACACTGTCTGCCGAAAATAAAAGCTCATCGGATCTGCCTCTGCGTCCATCGCTTTCAGTCAGTTTGCGTTGACACGCGAATCCGCACGCGCCGTTCTATATGATATTGTGACGCGAAATCCAGTCCGAAGTGGTTAGAGAAGTGCTCCTCAGATTCTGTCGCAACTTTTGATCCGTTTCGTTTTGTTTTTGGTCGTTTCCCCTACCGACCACACGCAGTGTCATTCGTTTTCCCCCGAGTGACATCTTGGCACGCGTTCAAAATATGAATTGCTCGGCACTCCCAAGCAACGACGTCTAGTTACGCCTCGAGACTTTATAAATAACCAAATTCTAGCCATCTATCTCTGTGTCGAAATCAAACTATCAAACTATTGGCTGTCGCCCAGTCTTGGCAACCAGTTTATGTCGCTCCAACGATAATCTGGTCGATAATTAGGAAGTCGTATCCAGATTGACGGGCTCTTTCTTGTTGATCTGCTGCTATCCATCATGAAATATGCATGGGACGGGCACGAGTTGAGACAATGGGAGTGTGGGCCATAAGGAAGTGTTTGCCCATTGATGCGCTACCCAGAAACAATGAGCGAGCGATAAACGATTAACGAGGGAGTTGAAATAACAATTCGGATGAACGCAGCTCCATCTCTGTTCTGTTTTTGGGGTTATCGCAGTCAGTGACCGCGCCAAACGTGACGAGATCTAGGCCCTGTCGATTACAGAGGGGAAAGACCTGTCTCTTGTATTTGCCTGCGCAATTCTCTGATCGTTGTGATCAAACATCACTCAACCTTCTTTTGATCAGCAAATGTGTCTTTGCCGGCCGGTTCTTGCATTCCTTCCGCTGTCCGTTGTGCTGGTGGGGCTCGACTTTTCAATTATCAATAAAACACAAATTAATCATTGTTATTGTTGCGGATTGTTGCCGTGATTTACAGATTTTACAGCGCTCTGCTTGCAAATTGTAATGCATTTCATTTAATTTCAATTGAATTGTGTCTGCCACTCGCTGCCTGCTCCCATTTGGATCGCATTTTATGGCACTTACACGCGCCTTTCACGTGTCGCCACTTACAACACGTCCTCCTCGCGATGGAAGCGTCAGCAATCAGCTCAGGGGATGCTCTATCAGCACCATGCCACTGGACGGGACTGGTCTTGGCCGGAGACGAAGACGAAGACGAAGACGGGGTGGACTGAAACTTGTTGCCTCTGCTTTGTCATCCAACGTGAACGTGACGGTGCCGCGGGCTGGGACAGTGACACATGTTCGCCGCTCACCAGGCAGGTAGAGCTCAGGTTTCCGCTTATTTAAATCCCGAAAAATATAAGCACAATCTCTGACGTCAGAGCGGCTGAATGATGACGTAGCAGTATCGATTGCTGGCGAAGGGCAGAAGGAAGAAGGGCATTTAGCAGCAAGTTTAAGGTTGCAACAACCGATGAAAAACAGACGACAAAAGAGAGAACAAAAGCACAATCCCAAGTGCAAGCCCATGCTGCGCCCTGTCCCTGCTGGGCCCTTCTGTAATGCGCTTAGCATTGTTCTCGTTCAGGAAATGGTTTTATATGGCTTTGGGGCATGTGAAAGTTGCATAATTTGGCCAAAGTGGTTCTTCGGGTTGGTTTATTCCGGTCTGCCTTGGACCTGCCCCTAGCGTGATTCAGATTCAAAAACTGAACGTTGAATGTGGACCAAACCAATTGCCAAATGCTTGTGGGTGTGCATGTGAATCATTGCCGCCCCCAATCCCAATCAGCTGTGGAAAAGTTTATCAGCCTCGAATACTTTTGGCACGCTTTTTCATCCGCCACCAGCCCACAAGAGTATCGAAAATTGTTTACACAAGAAATATTCCCCGAAAAATAGCGTAAAAAATAAGAAACAAAGACTCCCCCGTTCCCCCTTTCCCCTTCCCCTGTCTGTCTGTCAGCTTTTGTTTATTTGTTTACCCTCTGCGCTGTGCGTTAAGTTGGGAGCTGCTCGAGTGTTATTGTTTAAAGGAACCACAACAGACTGTAGTACGAGTAGCTGGCTTTAGCTGCTGCTCTTGCCCACAAGCCAAAGACTTATCATCCGATCCGAGCGAGTGGTTTTTCCCAGACTTTGGCATTAGATTGAATTGCATTTCGTTTGTTTATTGGTTTCGTTTAGTGCTTCTCGGGTGTTGTTGAGCTTTCGTTTCTTTACTTGATGGGGTCTAAAATAAACTCGAGTTACCCTCACCCCAAACCCCCACGCCAGGTGTGTGTTTATGGGCCTCCCCCCTAACCAGGGTTCTTACTAATACCTTTGGGAGCAGCTATCTCTGCCTTAATTAGCTTCTAACTGCAGTGTTCTCGGGTGAAGTCAGCTACTGCAGAAAGCAAAACACCTCAATGTTGCATCAATTGAAGTGTCTGCCCCATTGGCGTACGTCCCGTGGCCACCTTTGCATCTTTTGTTCCCAGTAGCCATATATATTCGTATTAAATACTCTTCTGTTTTCATTTGTGTGCCCCTATCTTGGTCCCTTATCTAATCGGAATCCTTATCAGGTAATGCCTGCGTGCCCCGATAAGCCCCAATGGCCATTGCGGGAGAGTCGAGAGGGGAACTGTGTGGCCATCTCGTGATCTGGGAGAGACAAACCAGCTGTGGCGGGCAACTTGTTCGCGTATTACGAGTATTACAAACTAGTTTTGGTCTCTAGGTCTCTCCGCAACTCCTCTCCCGCTGCACTTGCGAATTCCCATTTTCGATGGTGCAAAATGAATGTATTGTGCAGCCCGCGGCGGGGCAGGCGACGAGGGGTTAGCATCGAACACAACGCACACAAGCAAACACGTCGCGCCGTCATGGCGTAGCGCCTCGCCTTGCAGTCTCGACTCTCCCGCAAGTTTCTCGCCGATTTCCTGCAGTCGTCCGACGAACGTTGGCGCACTTGGCGCACAAAAGCAGAGCGAAGCAAACAGAACCGAACTAAAAGTTGAAGTTTATCTAGGCAACCTGTGAAAAGTGAGAGAAACAAAGAAACAAAAACAAAAAACAGAAACCGAAAAGTGTCGAACTAGTGAAAAATTGTGAGAAATTCTCAGATATTCTACACGAAAAAAAAACAGTGTGCAAAATGTTGAAACTATTCAAGAAAACCAAAGACAAAATACCCAAATCGGAAATAATCACCGAGCCAAAAGAGCCGAAAACGCCGCCCGTCTCCAAATGCGGCAAGCCCTTGCAGCTGGACAACTCGCGCTGGGAGGCAAGTATCCAAAGAGAGAGTGGCAAGCAGAGAGAGAGAGAGAGGATGCAAGAGAGCAGTTCGAACTTTGACCAGTCTGTGGGATCGCATTCAATATTGAACCAAATGCAATTTATTTCGATACTTTCGTATGGGTTCTGCTGCGGTTGCGTCATTGGATGAGTGTGAAATGGGGACAGGGGGTAAATGGGCTTCCAAGAACTCTCCTGGCTATCCCTAAGACGTAGTAGTGTTGCGCTTATCCCTTTTTTTTTATCAGAAAAACAACATTTGAATCCATATTATTTGACAGACCGAGTCAATGGGCGAAAGGAAAGTAAAGGGAAGCTGAAAGAAGGAAAAACAGTCGACAGCTCTATAAATTTCAGTGACATTCGTTTTTATCTTATCGTAGACCATTATATACCACCACATATGACTATGTGCCAAGTGCCAGCCTACTCTACTAAGTATTTATATAGCGGCTATTGACGTTTGTAAGCCAAAAGAGAAATGGCGCAGAGATAAGGCTGTGGTCTGGAAAAAAAGGTTTTCAAAGCACAAAGCGCAATTCCGATGTGCAAAAAAAACACACACACACAAAACAGGCAACAGCAAAATGTGGCCTGGCTGAAGGTGTGTTTTTTATCGATAAGATAAACGGAATGGGAGGGCAGAAAGTACTGGCATGGCCATGCCGTGCCATGCTATCAAAGTAATTCGCTAAGCCTTGCTTTTCCTTTGTACTTTACAGCGCCGGCTGCACAAAGAGCTGATGTCCCTGATCAAGGAGCCGCCACCGGGTGTTACCGTCGACACCGAAAGTGTACAGCAAAACCTATCCGAGTAAGTGCAGCAGAACCGCGCTCAGCGATCGGAGTAGGCCAAGTTCAGCGAAAACTGAAACGGGTTTCATCCAGACGCACATTATAAAAGCGCAAACAAATAAAAACTTAATTTAGCACCGGCCTGAGCTGCGTTTTGCGAATGTGACAACAAAGCCAGCAATTGTTGGACACTCACTTACCCGTACACCGTACACCGTACACATCTCTTTTTCCCTCGATTACAGATGGAAAATAAACATTAAAGGTTTCGAGGGCACCCTTTACGAGGGCGAGGACTTCCAGTTGCTGTTCAAATTCAACAATAAATATCCCTTTGATTCGCCTGAGGTATGAGCAAGCGAAGCACAACACACACAAGACACTGACTGTCCTTTGTCTATTCGCAGGTGACCTTCATTGGCAGCAATATACCCGTGCATCCACATGTCTACAGCAATGGACACATCTGCCTGTCCATTCTGACGGAGGACTGGTCACCGGCGCTGTCCGTGCAATCCGTGTGCCTTAGCATAGCTTCCATGTTGAGCAGCTGTCGCGAGAAGAAGCGGCCTCCAGACAATGCGCTCTACGTCAAGACCTGCAGTAAAAATCCCAAAAAGACTAAATGGTGGTACCACGGTGAGTACAGTTTGCATTTTGCCCCAGCAAAATGTATTCGAGGCCCGATCTAATAATTCATCCTTTGTGTTTATTCTCCCGTCCATGTGCAGATGACTCTGTTTAGTTAAAGTTGCAATTTATTACTACTGCCGCCTGCTGCTACTGCTGCTGCTGTTGTTAATACAGAAATAGAGCAAATATGAGGAATACATAAATAGACACGCAGCCAAATCGATCCCAGGCAGGGGCACACCACACATGACCCATCCAGAAACTGCGCCAAGACACTGAACTGCTTAAGCTTTAGAGGAACTATCACAGGAGGAGAAAGCAAGAGGAGAACATCAAATCAAATCAACAATAAGACAACTAACTAACAGTAGTGAATGGCAAACAATCAACGTGCCGCCGGTCAGGCATGGCCCCACTCTAATTCTAGCTATCTGTAATCAACGAAAGGCGTGTGCGAAACCCTATTACTAAATGTTAACATTTTAAATTAGATTATTAAGACCAAATTAAATGTTATGCTATCATCTAACTAAGCGTATGTGAAACTAAACACAATCTGCCAACTGTTTGATAGTTCTTGAAGATGTGCCCCCCGCGCAGCAGCAGCAGCAGCAGCTTCCACATTCCACTGGCAGAAACCCCTCGAGAAGCCGCTGCTTGGTCCTGGCTGGAGACAGAACCCGCTTACGGGTACCACCCCACCCTATCGTAACTCATGAGTCATTGTAGTTAAGTTGAAACATTTTAAATGTATTAGAAGCCACATCTGTATATCGCAATCATTACCATCATCCGCACTGCACACTCTGTAATCTTCAATCATTTGACCATTTCCCCATTCAACCGGCATCCTGCATCCTGCATCCGACATCCGACATCCGACATCCATGTGCTTGGCCAAAAATCTCGCTTGTGGCACGATCGCGAAACATATTTACCTCTTACTGTTCAAGTAGATCTAGATTCTAGAATGTGACGAGCTACTCGTTGAACTACCTTATAATTTATCTGTAATCTGTATATTGTATAAAAAGAGACCGACCTACCCCCCTCCCCCAGTAAAGCCCCCCCTGTATGATTGTCTAGGATATATACATACAACGCCTACGTTTATATATATATATGTATATATATGTACTGTGGCAAGTATTTAATAAAAGCAAGTCTGTAATCAAATGGGAGCGCCCGCAGACTCTCGACTTCTCGACTGGTTCCTTTCCCACATCGCAACAAATGTTAAATGATAATTGATAATCCAATGTTCATTGCAGTAAATTAAGTAGATATATTATGGTATGATGATTGGATTATATAGGACACATTTGTTCAACAAATAAGCGTGCTGTGCTCTAGTTCTGTCATCCTATTCGGCCGCTCATATGCCCGCTGCCACGCCCGCTGTGGGAGTGTAGAAGAGACCCTGCAGCGCTTCCTGGAGGGCACGCTCACAGGCCATGGTGGAGGTGAAGCCGCCGGCGTTCTCCTGTTGCGTCTCGGGACGTATGTGGGTGATGTAGCCCAAGGACTCGATCTCATCAGTGGGCGGTGGAGTGGGTCCGTCTGTGATGGCAATCATCGGCTCGTAGACAAAGAGCGGACCCTCCTCCGACTTTGGTACGGGAATCAAGGTGGGATCTGCCGTCTGACCAAACTTGATGCCCGTCGAGAACTCATTCGACGACTTCGGGGGCGGCAGCTGCTTCTCCTCCTCGCGCTGCTTCTCTGCCTTTTCGGCAAACTCAGTCACAATCTGGGCAGCATCCTTGCCGCTGTACATGAGCTCCTCGATGAGGGCCTGCTTATCACGGGCCTTCTTCTTTTTGTGCTCGGTCTCCAGCTCGTCGAGCTCCTTCTTGCGCGACTCCTCCTGCACGCGCTCCAGCTCGAGCATCTCCTCCAGGGCGGACTCATCGCGACCCACGCGCGTCTTGTTGCGCTGGATAACATCACGGTTGTCCCGCTTGTAGGCCTCGATGCGTTTGTTCGTCTCGATGATCTCGATGTTGTTGCACAGGTTGTACACAATGTCCTCGATCTCCTCCAGGTAGTCGTTGTACTCCTCCAGCGTGCCGAAGTCCTCTTCGCGTTTGTTGTAGTCGCGCAGAATGCGCCTCCTGATGTCCACCTCCTTCTCCACTTGGGGATCCTCGAAGAGCTGCACGCGGAAGTTGTTACGGCGCAGTGGCACCATGCACTCGGGACATGCCCCGGATCCCTTTAGAAACAGTAGGTCCACGCACGACTCGCACAGCGTGTGGCCGCAAACGTTGACCATCAGCTTGAGCGACGGATTCCTGTACTTGGTGGTCTTGCACCGCGGGCATGCCTGGTCTTCCATGCTGCTGGATGGACCTGATAGAGCGTCTAAGTCCTCAAAATCAGGACTATTTACAAATACAAATCTTATTTATATATTACTTTTTTTTTTATTTAAAAATTTGTCCACTATCGATTGGTGCCACTATCGATGTATTCCCAGCCCTAGTTTCCAGCGGAATTATCGATCAAATATACCAAAATATACCATCTTATTTTAAAAAAAACCTTAGTCTTAAAATCATATTCCACGATTTCTGTGTTCCATTTGATATTACTAGCATGTACAGACTTTCAACACTGAAACAATAATTTAATCCGATTTAAGAATCAATTTTTCTTATTATAAATATGAATTTATGTTTTATATATTTGTGGTGTTCGTTCCGCAATCAATTCCTTTTTGGATTTCAAAATCTTTAGTAAGACGTGTACCTCGTCCAACCAATTTCGCTGTAGCGATTAAATTAAAAAAAAACAATTTTGTTATTTACATATATTTTGTATAGTAAAATTCAAATACAACAAAATTATTTGTTGTACAACAAACACGTCGCTTCGGCCTGAAAGTATGCCACACGTTTTAGCATAAACCCAGTCCCCAAAAGATACTGCAAATAATGCGACAAAATACTATCACGGCACCCCGAAAGTATGCTACACATTTGTATTCATAAGAAATCAATTCATTATAAATGCATACAAAATGGGTTCTTAATGTAATTTATGTTATATGAGCTTGCGTGCTATTCCGTTATCCAAGTAGGATGCGGGAAGAAGGTCGCAGTGACGGCACATTCACGCTTTGGCTCCATCTGTATCAACACTTAGTTGATCTCAGTTCTGGGATTCGATATAGATACAAAAGTATCTTCCATCAGAAGTATTGAGTATTGTCTTTCAGATGAACTTTCCATACGAGGCATCTCAGGTATCCGAATGCGCATATCTGAAATGAGAAATAGCGGAGCTTCTCACATTCAACGGTAAAAACTAAAGTTTTCTTTTAACATTTTTATTTTGAAACAGCATACGCGGTAGTTGTTCACATTAAGAGTAGATTTTAAATATGTTTCCTTGAAATATACACGCGTAATTATGTTAAACGTATTTTGATATATTGTGTGTGTGTGTGTGTGTGTGTGTTTGTGTGTGTGTGTGTATATTTTGAGTGTGTATATGCATTAAATAATTCAATAATTTACATTAATCAAGCCCTGCCTGCGCACACGCCACACTGCCATCGAGGCAGCGTGCTCTGCTCAGCAGTAATCTGTCGTACATTTGCTTTAGCTGCATATAACATTTACATTTACATTTAAATACATTCAATAAACAGTAGTAGTGACAACATATACACCTCCTGCATGCAAGTATATCTTGGATTTATATATGTAGCTATGTGAGTGTGTTTGTATGTAGATAAAAGCATTGCCAAGCCGCTGAACAAATATACCCGAAATGATCTCGGATTCATTATTTGCATGTGTAATACTTGAGAGGGAGAGAGAGAGAGAGAGGAGTTTTTGGGGTGCGACTGTGGATCCGGTAGGAGGGTTTTGTGGTGATTAAAAGCACAGGTTGAAATACGAGGCATACATACTGTGACACTTCGTAATAGATTTAGACTAACTTACGCACTAGAAAGAGGATCTAATGATGTATACAGATTGATTTAGTCAAATATATGTAGGCATGTACATATGTACATATATACGGGTAGTAGTGGGGAGTGTGGAAAGAATATATTAATAAGGAACCCAAAGAAGAGTCGAGAAGGCGAATCTGGCCTGGTCTTTGCTTTGTTTGGGCTCTCAACAAATTTGTCGATTCAATTAGAAATCGAATCACTGTAAATATCACAATTTAGTTAACACATATACAATTAATAATTAGAATTAGAATAACTAAAGTAGGAGTAAGTGTACGTAAGCTGCTCTTTCGTCATTAACAATTGAGATGCTGCCCCTACAGGTGGCAACTGTCGTAGCCTAACCGATCGTGATCGTGATCGTCTCGTCTCGTCTGGTCTGGTCTCGTCATGATGATGGTGCATGGTGGAGATCCTCTGCCTAGCCCTGCAAGGCGGTGACCTCCTCCTCCAGCTCGGCATCCACCTCGTCAATTTTAGAGCCACTGCAGCCGCGACACTTGCAGCAGATGATGCAGGGGGCGGCCAGCAGCAGTAGTGGCGAGGCCACTAGCAACAGAATACCAAAGCCAGCAAAGATCCCAATGACCTGGGCGCGATGCCACACAACCGAGGCACGCGAGTGGCCCAGCTTGTTCTTGCACGGACCCTTGTCGTAGTGACGCAGCAGAAAGTCGTCCTACGGGGGAAGACAGACAAAATTGAGTTATTCGATAACGCTCGGGAACACAACTCGACGAGACTCACATCCAGACTGGCCAGGCAGTACCAGCAAAACACGTGCTTGCAGCGCTTGCACATCATCTGGGCACAGCCCTCGTCCTTCTCAATGGGCACCGCGCACATGGGGCAGCACTTGATGAGCTCATTGTCGAACGGTATGCCAATGTCGTCCTGGCCATCGGCAATCAGCCGGCGACCGAATTCCTCGCAGCTTATGTTCGGATGATACTGCAATGGGGAAATGAAACAGGGATGAGTGCCAGCCAGGATTGACAGCAGATGCGTCCACTTACAGCCTTCTTGCAGAGTGCACAGAACTCGTCCTTGCAGGAGGGACAGTGCACGGACAATGAGAGTACGGCTGCACCTGCACCTGCACCAGGTCCGCCTTCGCTTGCCACACCCACGGTAGCGCCACCGCCACCCTCCAGTTGCGGTGTGTAGCTCTGTGATGTCGAGGGCGACTCATCCATTTGGCAAATGGCGCTGGCTTGTCCCTGCGCTGAGCCGCCCACCATGCAGATTGTCTCGCAGCCAGCACGGGGGCACCAGGTGCGTGTCTTGTCCAATTCAATCTCTAAAAGAAACAGCAGGCGGATAATGGAACTTCTCGATTTTGAACTGTACTTTCGACTCGCTTCATACCTCGATTCAGACGATAGCGATGATGTTTCTTCAGCAGGTTCGTTGTGGTTAGATTCGCAATTTCGGGTAGGGAGATGGCGCCCTGTGCCGGGCACTTGGCATCCGGACACGAGATCTCGTAGGCGCCCTCGGATATCTCGAACTCCACATAGGCGCGCATGCACTGCGGAGAGGAAAGGAACGACCAAAAATTT